GCGCGCGCCGCAGGGCGCGGGCAAGGCGGCCTAGCCCGCGGCGGTGAAAATGGCGCTCGGCCGAAGAAGATCGGGCTACGCCACCTCTGCCGCGCTGTCCCAACGTTGCCGCCTGCGCGGCAGCCCCTGCGAGCACCGCATTCACTCGGGCTTCTCCGCCCCGATCGGTGCTGAGCCGCCGCCAATTGGTCGGGCGGCGGCAATGCCGAGCGCTGAAGCACCTCGCGCGCAACGCGGCGTGGGCGGCCCGCGCGCGCGCAGCGCGCCGCCAGGCGCGAGCGCCCTTTGCGTCGGCCGCGCGCATCTGCCCACGATGGGCCGACGCGGGAGGGCGGCTGAACAAGTGAAATCGGCGGCGGGCGCAGCGGGGAGCGGGCGCGGGGGGGGGGGGGCTGCGCGGGGAAAGGAGCGGGCGTCAGGGCGGAAGGGAAAGGGCGGCGGGGGGGCGAGGGGCGCGGCGGAAGGCGCGATGGCGATGACATAGCAAGGGCCGACACTGCGCTAAGTCAGGGGGGTCGGGGGGGGGGGGGGGGGGGGGGGCGCGGGGGGCGGGTGCAGGGCGAGGGGGCGAGGGGCGGGGGGCGCCAAAACCATGGCAACAGTGGCAGCGCCAGACCAACGCGCGCCCTCGCGCCGCCCGCCCGCGCTGGGCCACAGCGAAACCCAGGCCGCCCTCGGGCGCAAAGGCGCGCGCAGCGGACGGCTAGCCGCGACATCGGGGCGCTCGTCGCGCCGCCCGCAGCCGCGGGCAGAGCGGCCTCGGCGGCCGCCGAAAACCCGCCAGGGCCGCCTCGCATCGCGCGCGCCTCGGCGCCCCCAACGCCGAAATGGCAGCGCGCGCGCGAGAGACGCGCAATACGCAGAATAAGGGGCGGGCGCCCCCGTCGGTGCCAGCAGGCCCCGCCCAGCGGGTCACAGCCCTCTGCGCGGGGCAGGCAACGTCGCGGGCCTGCCCGCGCGCCCGCCGCATGCCCGCGGGCGCGACGACAAAACGCTGGCCGATGCACCGCCGCGCCCTTGCCGCATAATTGAACGACCTGCTGGTCGCAAGAAACACTCGCGCCGCGCGGGAACCCGCGTCGGCGCCTTCGGCGCGCAGCATGGCAAGGCAGCCTCGCGACGCAAGAATTTGCAGCCGCGCGCCCTGCCCCGCGCGCGCGCGCCTCAGGACGGCGGCCCCGACGTGCGCCGCGCAGCAGACTTGCGCCCGACGCGCAGCTCCTCGCATCGGGCAGACACCGCCAAGACGCAGCGCGCGGGCGCTGGCGAAAAAAAGCCAGCGCCCTGCGAGGACGGAGGCGACGGGGCGAGGCGGGAAAGGCGCAGGCGCGCAAGCGGCGGCGCGGTCGCGAGAAGGCGGCGGGGCGGGGGCGCCCCGCGAGAAACGCAAACACGCACCTGGGACTCGGCATTCGCCGCGGGCGCTGGCGGCAACTTCGCGTCGTTCCCCGAGCCGCGCGTCGGGCCCGAACAACGCCCCGCGCGCCGCGCTCTCTTGGGCGCGGTACTCGCCCGAGCAGCAAGTGCCGCGGCGGCGCTGGTGGGCCCGCGCCGCGGCGGCGCAGCCGACGCGGCGCCTTCTGCGACAGTGGCAAACGAGGGCGCTGCCTCTGTGCCATACATGCGCAAGACCACCAGGCGCACCCTCCCGCGCGCGCGCGCGGGGCTCGCGCCCGCGCCGCGCAACGCCACGCAATGGCATGCCCTTGCAAGGCCGCGGCATCGCGCGCGCGCGGCCGCGCAAAACTGTAAAGATTCGGCACTTTGCTCGCGGGGCAGCCGCGGGCCACCCGCGGCCCCGCGACCGCCGCACGTCGCGAGTGGCCTTGCGATGCGAACCCGATGCGTTTGTCATTGCGCCGTGGAAACGCCCCCACATGGCCGCCCGCTGGCGCCCCGCCAAACGCAAACGCCCAGCAATGGCCTCGACGTTGGCCAGGCGGTCCAGCGCGTCGCCCGCCAAAGGCCCGCCGCGTCGCCGACCGCAACGGGCCTGCTAGCCTGGCAGCCATTATGCAAGCGCCCGCCAATGTCGCGTCACTCAAATTGCCCGCGCCCGCGCCGACCACGCACGCGCCTGGACAGCACCGTTCATGGGCAGCTGGGGCGACGATATGGCCCCAACACCGCGCGCACAAAACAAAAGCCACAAACAAAAACAACCCGACGCCGCCATGCGCAGCCTAACGCGACGCAAGCAGCGCCGCGGCGCGCCACGGGGCGTCACCGCGCGCCCGTGGGAACCCGATGCATGCGGGGCGAACCGCCCCCACAGGGCCCCCCCGCACCATTCTTCCCCCCTCCCCCCCCCCGCGCACGCCCCCCCCCGCCCGCCCGCCAGTCGCACCTCGCCCACACACACACACACACCGACCCCGCCCCGACCCGCGCCGCCGCGCACGAAACCAACGGGCAAACGCATGGAGCGGAGTTCGGACCGCGCAGCAACGCGCGCGAATACTCAGAGAGGAACACGGCGCGGCCGAGGCCGCCGACGGGATGGCACGCTCAGCAGATGGCGCTGCCACCGCGCCGCGCAATGCGAAACAAAGCGGTCGCGGCATCGCACTCGCGCCCCTGCCCCCATCGACCCGAGGCCGCGCGAATTCCCCCTCCCCTCCCCGCCGCGCCGCACCCCGCCCCCGCCCCCGACCCCTCCCCCCCCCAGGTGACCCGAGGGGGGCCCAGAGGTGCCCCCCCCCCCATGGGGTCGCGACGCAACCTCGGGCCAGAAACCCACGGTGCCAAAAAACGACAAGCAAGCGACATAACGGCCTGGCGTAAACCTCTTCGCATCACGCCAGACTACATAACGCCGACGGCCCACAAAACAAACGATGCAAACCCCACCTGCCCACCCAAAGGGGCGCACACCACCGACCAAAAACATCGCGAACGGCGCCCCAAAAGCGCCCGCACACAAACCACCAACAGATACGACCAACGGTGCAGACTTGATTGCAGGATGGGGCGCCGTGAATGCCTAATGGTACATGGCGCGCAGGCGCGGTCGCTAGACAAAACCATCGTCGGCACGGTCGCCGCCGTTGCGCGTCGCATCGCACGCCACCGCCGTCGGCGCCGCCGCGGCCGACGACGGAGCAGCCTCGGCGCCGTCGGAATGTGCGCGCGCTTATCGGGGTGGCGACGCCATCCTAACACAACCCATCCACGTTCTATGTGAAGCACGGCGGGTGCGATGCCAGCGGTCGCGCAGATGCCGACGGCAGCGGGGCAACGAGAACAAAATCAACCCATGCAGCACGAAGCAACGGAGGTGTTGGTAGCCGAGCCGATAAGGGATGGAGAACGTGGGTACTGCGACCCTCGATCGAAAGGGCATCCGCATCGCCGACGCGCGGAAGCCGCGCACAACAAAAACTATGACCCAACACAACCATGCGCCCAAAAACGTCATCGAACACACTTCGGGCCCAAGACCCGCCGCCGCTGAACGAATGGCTTGGATGGGGCCATCGTGGGCCACCTCGGCGGTGCCCCGGGCTGAGAGCTGCCACTTAGGCAGCCGAACCTGGGAGCCAGGATGGGGGCGGAAGGGAAAATAATTTGCGCCCTCGCGTCGGCCCTGGTTGTCCTCGAGGCCCATGGCTGGCGAGTACGGGGCCAAGTGCGCGGCCATGTCACGGGAGAGCGGGGCGGCGGGCCAACGCTGGCCCGCGACTCGATCGGGCGCCGATCTGCGGTGCACAGGGGTACCAAGATGGAAAAGGGGAAATCAGACGCGCATCGTGACGCGTCAACCTGAAGGGGTGCGACCAGATGGCGGGCAAGGAGGGCGCTGTCTGGGGGGGGAGGGGGGGGGGGCGGGCGGGCGCGGGGGGCGGGGGAACAGGGGATGGGGGCAAGGCCAATGTTCCAAGGTCGATGCGAATCAGCCCCTCGCTCATCTGCCCACCCGCCCACCCCCGACCGCCCAGACATATGAGACATTAGATTTTCTCCGCGAAACCCCCAGAGCGGCGCGTGCCGCGACGCGGATCCAATCCAGAGAAAACGATCCGAGCGCACTCGCAACGATGGCGCCCCGCTGGGAGCCTGCAGTGCTCGGACCCTGAAAAAAACTCAAAGGGCGCGGCGGCCTCGGCGCAGCAAGGCCCGACTCCCCCCTCCTCCCCTTCTGGCATCATCCACCTCCCTCCAACGCACGGGCCGCCTGCATCACGAAACGGGCTCAGAATTCAGAAGCCCTGGGATGGGGCAGGCAGAGCTCGGAAGCCGTGCGTCTTTCAGCCAGATCGCCCAGGCACGACGCACGGCCTCCATCAGCGCGCGGTACGAGCTGCCCCCGTGGTCGGACCAGGTCTCCGAACCCCGAGGGTGATCGCCCACGCGGAAGTGCCACCCGCCCCGCGTGTTGGACCTCCAGACGTAGCTGTCGGGGGGGAGGAGGCGCTTTGCCTCCGACTGGGGCAGGTCGCCCCTGGGCTCAGGGACGGCCTTGGGGAAGACGAGCCCGTGCAACGGGTGGTTCTTCGACCGCGTGGACGCGGGCACCTTCGGGAGCTTGTCATCCTGGGCAGGCAGGGGCGGCGGGGGGGGGGGGGGAGGCGGGGCGAGTGCGAACGGCGTAGGGGGGGGGGATCAGCTGGGAGGCGGAGGGCGAGGAGGGACGGAGAGGGAGAGGGGGGGGCAAGGCTAAGGGGGGATAAGGGGGGAGAAGAAGAAGGAGCAGCTGTCTGGGCTCGGTGGCGGCCGCTGCAACGAAGGGGCGCAATGCGACCCCTCGGCCGAAGAGGCCCCCCCATCGGGCATAGCGCCGACCCCATTCCCCCCCCCGCCTTGTTTGGTCGTCACCCTCCTCCTCCGACCTCTCCTCCCCCCCCCTCCCTCCTCCCCCGCGCCGCACCGTCCTCCTCCTCCGCCATCGCCTGTCGGATGCGTACTCGCCCCCGCTCTCATTCCCATTCCCACCCCCGCTGCCACCTGTCGGGTTCCGCCCCCCATTCCCCTCCTCGTCCTCCCCCTCCCCCAGCCTTGACCCTGCGGAGGTCGCGAACAAAATGGTCGCGGCTGGCGCGCAGCTGCTTGGAGGCGTGGATCTCCTGCTCCACGATGTCCTTCGTGTCCTTGTCGAAGTGGTCAGTCACCCACTCGCACGCAATCAACTCCTCCAAGGAGTCGACGCGCTCGAAGGTGAGGGCCCGACGCTCGAGCATCTTGATGATCTTCGCGTCGGTGCACTGCGGGATGAACTGCCAGCCGAGGACCGTGAGCACCGACACCAAGCTGAGGTCCGCGGTGTCGACGTCGTGGAGCTTGCACAGCTGCACCAGCACGGACAGGGGCAAGTCCCAGAACGCCTGCAAGGCGCACGTCGCCATCAAGGCCCTGGGCTCGTCGGCACCAGCGAGGATGATAGTGAAGTCACCGTGCTCGCGCGCATCCTGGCAGGAGGTGGCGATGATGGGATGCCGACCAGCTGAAGAGGCGCACGCTGGTGAAAAAATGATGAGGGGGGGGAGGGGCGGGGGGGGGGGCAGGGGCGCGCAGGCAAAGGCTACTTCACGCGCACGCCCACCCCCGCCGCAGGTCCTTCACTGCGACCTCCGTCGCAGGGCCCTGCTGCTGAATCGGGAGGCGCTTGACCTCGACGTCAACGGCCTGAGCCAAAGGCGACGCGAACACGACAGGCAAAGCCTCCCACTCCGTCAGATCCAGAATGGCGAACAACTCCCTCTTACGATCTGGCAACACCCTGTAACGGCGAGGCCCGTACTCGTCAACTGGCCACCCAACTGCCATGGACCCGCAGATGGACCCCAAGCCCCAGTACCAGGAAACCGACCCCTTCCGCCGAAAGACCAGCTCGTTCGTGATGAGGCGGCTGCAGAAGCGCCGATCCAGGAGCGAAAGCCTGTTCTCCCGAGAGGCTTCGCGGCATAGTGCGATGTCAACGTATGGCTGGAAATGTCCAGCAGCGTTGGGAGAATACCAATCAGCATCTTTGTGCGACGAAATGGCAGACAAATTCAGGGGCAACAAATCACCATGTAGAGCAGACTTCTTCATCACTGGCTTGAACGCGTTGGACTCGAACCGACAATCTCGTGGCGCGGCGACTTCGTCTTTCACAACTGGCGTATACCTGTGCGTTGTCTGGACAACCTCGGCATCTAATACAATCGCCTGCGCCGCGTGAGAGGTACACACACTGTTTTTGTTTTTAGCAACCCTGCCTTTGATTTTGTTGAACATGTCCTCTACTATCTGCTGGCACAGAAACCGCTGACACTTAACCCGAGTGAACGTCAAAATCCTGTGGGCCGCGACCGAGGAGAGCTGCCGCGGGCGGTGCCAGACCCCTCCCCCTGGTGGCGCCCAAGCCGCCAGAGCTAGGATAAACGGGCGAGGCGGGGTGGCGGCCCGAAATGCTACAGCGCCGCCGTCGGGAGGGTTGCCGCAACCCCCCTTCCCAAGCCCCCCAGGGCCAACCCCTGCGGGATCGGACGGGGCACGTTCCGAGGGCGAGGCAAGGCGGGCACGCCACGGCGGTCCTCTCGGTCGCAGCCCACCCTTCAAGCTCGAGGCACTTGATCATCTGCGGAACGGCCGTGTGCTGAAGGAGGGACCGACCAATGAAACCCTGCGCGCCCTCGAAGACCGTCGTCTTGAGGGTCTCATAAATCTGAATGTCACTGCGGAGCTCAACCAAAAACTGCGGGCGCGACCCCGCGTCAAGCAACAGAACTTGCCGCTTGGGATGCCCGTGCGTCGTGGTCATGGCCCTCTGCACAAGCTGCAACACGAGTGCTGAAATGAGGTCGGCCATCATCTTGGCAAAATCGTTGGATGCGTCGACCCGCGGGTGCTTGGAATGGAGTTTGGCACCCGTCCAGTAGACCTCCACCCCGCATGGGGCGAAGCCATTGCGATGGTTGAGCTGGAACACGGCCAGCTGCTCTATACGATGGATGCCCTCAGCCATCTGCTCCAGCTCGAAAGGAATCGAGGCGTCGGCGGAGCGCAGGCGGGCATTCTGTCTGGGGAACTGTTTCACAGGGAGAGGGGCGGGCGAGGAGAGGCGTCGAGATGGGGCGATAGGCGCCCCTGCCAAGTTCCATCACCAACACCCTCACCACCGCCATCCTCATCCTGATCGCATCTCCCCCCTCCCCTCCTGCTCCTCCTCGCCCCCCCCCTCTCCCTATCCCCCCCCGTCCGCCTCTCCGTGTCTCGGGGGCGCCGCGACGCCCCCCCGCGCGCCCCGCCGCGTTGCCGTCGGACCTCGGTCTCGGACCTTTGACCCCGACTGCGAGTGCCCGCTCGCGTCTACTACGCCACGCCTGCGCACCCCCTCCCCTCCCCCCCCCCCTCGCCTCGGACCCCCCCCCAAAAAAAAAACTGACGCTGCCGCAAACGAGCAAACGCGATCCTGCTGTGGAACTCAGCGGTCGGGCCAATGATCTGGCAGATCAACCGCTGCTTGAAGTAACAATCGATATCTCCAAATAGACATGATGCCCGATCCAGTTGATTCTTGTAATCATTGAACTGCTCAACTGAACACTGCTTGAGCATGGGTTTGGCGCCGTCCTCTAGGTCGGCCGAGTGGAGCTGCGGCGCCACGCGCCTGTTGGCCCCCTTCAACCCGAGGCTCAGGGCGCAGACGTTATATATATAGGATTTGAGCGAGAACTGATGGATCATCTTTTGGCTCACTTGTGTTGTAGCTTGATACTTGCCCAAAGAAATTCTCTCGCCCTTCGAGTGAAGGAGGGGGGGCGCCAGCACGCTGTCATACAGATTCCTCTCTGTGAGCTCGTCCGCGGGCGCGGGGTCCATCTTGGAGGGGGGGGGGGGGGGGGGGGCAACGGCTGCGAGCGCCACGCTGGGGAAGGGGGGCGCCATCCTGCCCCCCAGTCGAACAGGGGGAAGCGCAGTGCCTCATCCACCTCCTCCTCCTGGACCACCCCCCCTCCTCGTTCGTGCAATGCCGCCCCAGCCAAGTGGCCCCCTCCTCGGCATCAACCCCCGCCTGCCCTCGCTCGCCCCCCACCTCCTCCCTGACGCGCCCTAGGGAAGGGAGGGGCACTGCGTTGCCGCCGCGGGGCCTGCTGTTGAAGGCGAATAAAAGACACGTAAAGCTGCCATAAAACATCTGTCTCCATAGTCACCCCAGCCCTATATGCTTCCATTGACTCTCGGAGCTGCTGCAGACGAGGTGGGCTCAAAGTACTTCCATAAGCACAGTTCTGTGCACAAGCCATTGTCAACTGAAATTTGTACAGACCACTGTGCCTGGAGGGTTCCCAACGTGCGCGCCCGAGGCAGGAGGCCCGAGGCCGCGTGGGAAGCCCCTGGCGGCTGGGGGCGAGCTGGGGGGGGGGGGGAACGCGGCGAATGCAACAACAGTGGTTTGCCGGAAAAGACGCCGCAAAACCTTGCAACGGGACCCAGGGGGGAAACGGAACGCGGCTTAGGCAGTGAGAGATTGTTTGCTGCCACGGCGCTTGAGTGCTAATTTAGCTGCATTGTTGAGGCCGTGGGAGATATCAAAATCGATCTGAACATTCAGCTGGGTGTCTTTTCCGTACAACATGAAATACGTCGAACATAGCATGTCCGGCCCCATATCTGGAGCCACGGATAACAAGTTCCATGAGAAGGGACACGTAGTATATTCACCAGCTTCGTTACGAGGAGGTCTGTAATCGCTGAGCTGCTTGCCCGCGGATTGCCAGAGCATGTTATTGATGCATAGTAGTGTCTGGTAGGACTTCCCGCGGCGGCGCTTCTTGGCTGGGGGGGCATCGACCTGCCTGTCCGCCAACGCGGACCCGAGTTTCCGTTTGACGACGCTCCTCCGCGAGGCGCGCAAATGCGGGATAGGGGCGAGGGAGGGCGGCGCGAGCGGGGGCGTGGATCAGGGGGTGGAGCTGGCCAGGAGAAGCCCACGGGCAGAGAGAGCAGGGGGGGCGAAGTGGCCGAAACCATGCCCCGCTCGCCCGCCCAAGGCCAGTTGCATGGCCCTTCGAGGGCCCCCACCTGCCCGCCGCACCTCTGCCCAACCTCCCACCTCCTCCTCCCCCCGCCTCCCCACCGCGCCTCGACGCCCCCCTCCTCCTCCTGCCTGCCGCCAACGGCAGTCCTGAAATGCTCCTGCTGCTGCTGCCGCACCTGCTGGAGGGCCTCGCCCTCGAGGAAGCAGTCCTCCGAGATGAACTGCCCCGGCACCTGGCTGGCCCGAGCCCGCCGCCGCGGCCCCCGAGCCGCCCCCCCCCCGACCCCCCGAGGGCTCCCCCAGCGAACTGAAAAGTGGGGTGTGGGAACGGTGGTGTGTTGTGGGAGGGCGCTCCCGCTCGAGCGCGGGCGCCCCCCGCACCCGGCAACACACCGCCGGCACCGTTCCCGGACCCCCCCCCCCAACCTCGCAGGGGCGCCCCTGGGAGGTTGGCGGGGCGGGCCCTGCTGCCTCGGCCCCTCGCGGGAACGACGGAGCGGGCCCCCCCCGCCTCCCCGAGCCCCCCGCGCCCGCCGCGAGAGAGGAGCGGGGGTGGGGGGGTGGGGGGGGGGCGGTGGCGGGGCAACCAGGACAGATGGATGGCGGGGGGAGATGGCGGGGGGCCAAAGACAGAAGGAGGGATGAGCCATCGGAAAGAGCAAACAGGTGAGGAGCCAGAGAAAGAAGCGGGAAGGCGAGGAGAGAAAGAGAGGGGGGGAGACGGCGGGAATAGCGAGAAAGAGTGATGCGAATCAGACAAAGCAACCTGGAAGGGATAGGAATGCGGATCTGAGAAATAACATGGGCAGGGGGAAAAAAAAGGGGACCCATGAGATACTGATAGCACAGATGCCGACTGCAGCCCCATCAGAGCGGGAAGCAAATCAAAGGCGAGGGCTGAGGCGAAGGACGAAGAGGATGGCCGCAGGACAATCAAAAGGGCAAGGGGGGGGAGATCAGGCAGCCGCGAAACGAACTGAGACCCAATAACCCTCCACCCAAAGAAACCCACAAACCAGGAAAGGTGGATGAGCACGGCGACGCACCCGACGAATGCAATGGAGAAGCCGCAAAACGTAACAGACGTAGGAGATCGCTTGCGACGGCCAGAACAATATGGGGGACGCCACTGCCCCGAGCGCCTAAACCCGAAACGCACGAGAAAGCATGGACGCGCCAGTTCGAACGCCATCATCCTCAGTGTATGTGAGGTTGGCAATGCCAACTGACCAGCAAGCAGGGCCCCCTGGGTTCCAAGGGTAAACGCACGGTGACCTGAGTGAACATACACTGGCGGTGTAAAACGACGAAGACGACCAAACTGCATGATGGGGCCTACGGAAATGACGCGGTTTAGGTGTTATGGGAGGGCCGAGGCACGTGCACACGCCAATGACAGTGACCACACGAAGAAGCAGCAATGCTGCAAGGCGTTTCGAAAGTCAGCGGCGGAGAGTAAAACCGTTGATCGAACGAAGCGAATGCCGAGCGCCTTCCACGCGCATAACCGAAGGGGAGTTACACCGCGTAAAAGGGAAGCTGAAAGCTCCACGGGGTCAAGCAACACCAGGATGAGGGAATGAGCAAAGATGAGAAACATGGGGCGAGTGAAAAACTTGAGATGGATACGCACGGGGCGATTCGGAGGCAGCCGTGGCGGAGGCGGAAACGCGAGGCATTGGCGAGTAGAGCTCGGGCGTGGAAGGGGGGAGGCAGACGACGACAATAAGGGAAACGAAATGGGCGAAAAGGGGGTGCATGGCAAGACCGTCGGAGGAGCGGACGGGGTAAACGCAATAGAGGGGGAGGGGGGGGGCGTGCGCGAGAGGGGGGAAGAGTACGACTGAGGAGCGATGCGAATGCGCAGGCACAAAGAAGATGAGATGCAAACCCCAAGCCGACCCCCATCCTCCACTACCCTCGCCTCCGCCCCCCGCCCTTCCCCCGCCTCGCCCGCGCCGCCCCGCGCGAGTCGGCCAGCTGGCGCCTGCGGCAGGCACGCGCACACCTTGGCGGAACTCTGGTTCATCATCGCTGCCATCAACACCGAGAAGTCCGTCCCGACCTTGGTCCCGTCGGGGCCGCTCAGGGACAGGCACTGCGCACCCTGGGGAAGGGGGGCGGGGGGGGGCTCGTCTCGCCCAACGTCGCCGACGCCGATCCCGCTCGTCGCCGCCGTCGCCGTCCGCCGCCGCTCGTCGCCACGCGTCGCCATCGACGCGCTGGCGCGCTCCCTCCTTCACCGCTCCCGCCCCCGCTAAAAAAACGCAGTCCTTCATCGCCTCCATGCTCGCAAGATGGTACTTGATCAACTCGCGCTCGGTCTGCCTCCACGAAGAGGGGAAATAATGCTGGGGGCGAACGGCCTCGACGGAACCCTCGGACACACCGCCGAACTCGACCAGAGTGAACTGCGCGTCCCGCACCCTCCCCGCGGCGGACACGCCCTGCTCGACCAAGCCGCCCACGGCGAAAAGCACCTGGCTGGGGCGCAACGACAACAAACAAAGCATGGACTAGGCGTGGGAGAAGGCACCAACGATTCGAAAACCGACAGCGACAAACAGTTTGAATAAGGAAGAAATGACTGACGAGAGGGGGGGGGGGGGAGCCGCGACCGCGGAGGGAAGGGAGATCGCGGGGGGAGAGGGGGGGCGAGGGGGCGGGAACGGGGAGGAGGGAGAGGTGAGTGGGAGGATAACCGCGCGCGCGCGAATATGCGCGCGGTGCGCCACGCAACCATGCAGCGGCAACGCGCGCATTGCACGGGACATCGGCGGATCGAACCTGAGCGCGCCGACCCACGCGCGCAAACGGCACACAACGGCGCCGCCCACAGAAAGTCGGCGCACCACCAGGGGCTGATGGGAGGAAAGCGCAAACGCGCCACTCCGACATGGCCGCGAAACAGCACCGCAAGCCCGAGCAGCCCCCCGCCCACCCCGCCCGCTCGAACCACAAGAACAGAAACGCAAAACGCAATACGTGAAAGA